AGACTTTTAGCTTGAAGGATTTATAGAGATCATCTGAAGTTCTCTAGAGAAGTGAAAAAGAGATGCTGTGACAGTCATGTTCCTCACAAAATGCTCCATTCTCTAAATATGGTAAGACTGTTGAAGCCTCTTATTTCCTTTTTAAAATGTTTATCGGAAAAAGCTTGTTTATTGACATATGGCATTACATAAAGTCGCTTTTTATAAAAATGTCTGTCAACACCATATATGATGTACTTTATACGCAATGTATGAAGCTGGCAGTCATTTTTATCTAAGTGACTTTCATATCACATGAACACTTCAGAAGTGTGACTGCATGTGTCCACTTGTATTTTAAGAGGAACTTCAATTAGATATTTTAGTTTGTTTGTTTTTTTTATAAATCATTTAGATTTAATTTAGGGATCAAATATTGCTGTGATCACATTGGCTACAACTTTGTGGAATAAAGACACGTATGAAGAAAGTGGTAGAAAGTCTGTGTCATACTTAATATCTTTAAAGGGATATTCTTTAATCACTACTGAAGCACAGGCTCCCTATCAAAAAAGTGTCAACATAATTTAATCTTTTATACTTCCCATATTTTGAAAGTCGGTTGGCTCAAAACACAGCATGATTGCTAAAATATTTTCAAGGAAAATGGTTCTCAGGTTGTTATATACCGGTAGTAATCTCAGTTGACATACAAGGATTTATCAGAAATACTGAGGCACAGTGATTTTTTTTTTTTTACTGGGGCACCAGTAAATGGTATATATATATATATATATATATATATATATATATATATATTACTTTACCTTATTCTTCAACGCGGAAGTAAGCCTATGGGTGAGATTTCCAGTTCATTATCCACTGGGTAATAATGAGAAGAATTACAACGTGCAGTAAATGGCAAAACTGTTTGCAGTACAAACCAGTCTGTTCATAATTAAGATAATACCTTAAAATAATATGGCAAGACACACCAATTTGCAATATCAAGCAGCAAAATGAGCGGTTTGTGCAGCTAAAAATAGCTGGAAGCAAATGAGACAGGAAGGAAGTCCCATAGAATTTACAAATGGCCACGCCCATTTTTATGGGAAGAATAAGGTGGATACAATGGAAGTCAATAGAAACTGAAACTGTTTGGTTACCAATATTCTTCAAAATATCTTCTTTTGTGTTCAACCGAAGCAAGAAAGTCATACAGGTATGGAACAACATGAGGATGGGTAATTGATGACAGAATTTTCATTATTTATATTTGGATGGACTATCCCTTCGATCATTGCTGATGGTTAAGGGTCACATGACAAGAACAAACCAATGGGAAACAAGACACATGACTAGGACAACCAATCAGAACATGACGCATGAACCAAAGAACAACTCAGAACATAACACACAGACAAGGGAATCACATGACAGAACATGATCACATGACAAACCGGGAAATTAAACTAAGATCATGAATACAAAGCAAAAGACATGAACACCAACACAACCCAAAACAAACCCTGACACCTATATCTGTCCCAAAAGCTGAACTTAAAAATCCACAGAAATCTAAAAACCCTTCACGACCACTCTGAAATGTCAAGTTACAAAAAAAGTTACTTTTTGCCATTGCTGAGACTTCCAGTTGTGAAGCGTTTATTCTGCGTGCGCACACACACTTTTAGATGCACCTCCTCCATATCGGCTGTTCTCTCTTAGGGACGGCACTCCACAAACTCCAGACCAGCAACGGAATGTCTCAGTGCTGGCAGGATCAAAAGCACCGGCCGTCTCCCTCACGTCACCTGACCGGAATCCAATTAAACCTTTATTGGGGGATCAGAGTGATGCAGTGTCTGCATGAGTGTGTAAGGAGGCACAACGTTGGGGGTGACTGAACGATTTTGCATCTTGATAAATGGCCAGGGAAGGAGTGAGGGGTGCACACACACACACACAAGGGACCTGATGTATCTCATTCACAGAGTCCCCGGGGCAAATGTTTTATGGTTCCAAACTTAATGAACATCAGGTGTTCTTATTTAAACAACATGCCACATTTCGGCTATAATAAAGCTTCAAACACAAAGGTCAATATACTAACTTTATACAATCAAGATGTTTAACATTCTCGGATTGGGCAAAGAACTTAACTATTAAACTGAATTAAAAGTCTATTTGAGGGGCAAGATGCTCTACTTCATTGATCTCAATGTAATGGATCGCCACAGACAGCTGAAGTCTAAAGTTACAAAGTTCCATTACGCTGATAATTCAATAAACAGCCTTCAATGTCAGTGCAAAACGCCAAAGCGTAAGGTAGAGGTGAGATCACTGATTCAAATGATCGACTCCCCCGGGAGAGCGGTGACGTCACAGCGGCGGAAAGCCAGCCAGGCATCCCGGAGGATCCGCGCGCCTCCTCCACTGCCTGAGCGCACGAGCTCTGAGTGAGTATTGTGGATAGTCTCTGCACGCGTGGCCGCGTGGAATCCTGCTCGCGAGGATTTCGGATGTGTAAGGAAATGTAGGAGCTACTACACTATGAGCCGGATTTATTACGTGTTTTGACTGAATCTCCATTGCGAAGATATGCTCACATACTCTTTTTGCCAACACATCCTGGAGATCATTTAGACGCAACTTTGGAGCTGCGGCTTTTGCCCGCTGAATCTGGTGAGCCTCTTTCACAATAGCTTTTCAACGAATGCAACTACTTTTAGTACAAAATGCATTGCAGAAAAAAAGGTAAAACAGCATTACTGCATCTACAACTGTTACTACAACCACTACTCCTTTACTTGTGCAACTTAACCAGCAATAAATATCACAATTATTAACACCGTCATTACGCATAATAGGCTATTATATGGTAATGCATAGGCAATGGGCACACGCAACTGGATGTAAGCATTATAAAGTGAGTTGCACAGATAGAGGTATAGAGCGCACAGCTTCGTGGATCGGTCGCGCTCTTGCACAGCAGTGAGACAGCGCCATCATTCGCGAGCAACAGAGTGCATGTGCCGTGCTTGGGGCCACGCTTTTAAAAGGTTTTCCGTCTGGCGATACAACTTTTCCCCGGTTTCCATGTGGTATGGGACGTTGCTTTTAATTTTTGTATTTATTAAATAGCCACACCTCAAAATGTAAAGAATGTAGTTCTCACGGTTTCATTGCAATACCAGCACGGAAAGTGATACGATTCGCAACACAACAGCAAATATTAGCAATAACCAACTTCTTAATTGAGCAAATATTGCCTTACGAAATAAAGACATTGTAAGCCAATAATAGAATAAGAAAAAAACGTCAAGAAGTAGCACAAAAAAAGACAATAGAACTAGGATTAAGTTCTTGCTTTTAGTTTTCAGGGTTCTTATAGCAATAGGCTTAATCATCGAGAAAATGGTAATCAAATGTCACTTTGATTTGAATTAGACATAGCCTATATTAGGCGATTAAAAATTATGCTGACTAGTGTTGTCAAAAGACCCGGTATTTCGGTACCAAGTCGGTACTAAAAAAATGAAAACGTTACGGTACCAGGTTTTTTTAAGTACCGGTGGTACTGAGTACCCGGTCAACCCGGTTCTTGATGCGCTATCCGAAAGCTATCCTCTTCCAGTGTTGCCAAGTCCGCGGTTTTCCCGTGGAATTGGGCTGCTTTAACACTGTTGCCGCGGGTTGTTTTTCACGTCCGCGGGTTTAAAAACGACCCAATTAACGTGATATTTAGCCCCTGGAATGCGAATTTTACCAGGGGAACCCCGCCAAAACATGCGTATTTTATCCTCGGAACGCGATTTTTAACGGGGGACCCCCTCGAAACGCGATTGGGCGGGTTTTGTTGAACCTGGCAACCTCTTCTTAAAAGCAGTGGCGACCTCAAG